AAAGCCTGCTGAATCTTGCGAATGGTTTACACTCGGGTATCGCCAAGGTTTTTGGCAAAATTTGATGTAATATCGCTGCTCACGTTGTTCAGTCATTTTCCAGCTTAGTGAAATCCGACGAGAGCGCACTACATGACCTCACTCATACGCCGATTGCCAACGACTGACGCTTCCTGCAGGCGGGAAAAAATTCAGGGCTGTGCATGACTGTCCCCTCCACAACTCCACCGAAGAAGGCCTCTCTCGCATCATTGGTTTACGCGGAAAATAAAAAGGTCCGATACTTTTTGAACAGACCTTGTATATTTAAAACTTACTTATTACTATTTAATAAATATAAGTAAAATTAAAAAATTATTTATTATGAGTGTTAAATCAAAATATCATTAAACTGCTTAAAATATAAGTATTTAACACAAAAAATAAGAAATTAATTATTGTTATATTAAAATTATTTCAAATACTAATTATTTAATAGTATAAAAAATTTTGGGTTTGGATTAATATATGAAAAATCAATATAAATTTGAATAATGTTTTATTGAATATTAAATTGCATATTTAAAATATATTATAATATAAACATATAATTAAAAGTCATAAAAACCTCGCTTAGTTGTCTTGATGTCTTTTGAGTTATTCCTGTATTAGTAGCATCCCTCTTAGCTTTCTCTAATAATTGATGTGCTCTTTCTTTTAATTCTTTATGTCTTGATAAAATTCTCTACATAAAAGTATTTAATTATATAGACAGTCAAACTTTGGAAACTGAAATTACATTTGTTACAGCTCTGAAAATTTTAGAATTTAAAATAAAGATAACATTAAAATATTTTCAATTATATGTATTTTAAAATATCTCATACACTTGAATATGAGTATTAATTATCTATTGTTATAAATGTGTTTTTTATTATTATAATCAGATAAATTTTCATATAATAAACTGGTTTTAGTTAGCACTAGATGTTAATAAAAATTAAAGAGTGAATAGACTAGACTTTTGATAAAATTTGTATAAGCAAATAGTAAACAATGTCTGAATTGTCTAATCATATGGCCAGATAATTAATTTATATAAATATTCCTAAGCTTCTCTTTACACATTTCAGCTTTATGTAGCTTTCAAAGCAAGAATACATTAATTATCCAAAAGATCTTGGTAAAAAAACACCAGAAAGCCAGTATTTAAAGAAGTACAACAAAAATAGTTTTTAACACCAAATGTTTTGCAGGCATCTGAAAAAAAAAATATATTNAATAATCAATATTTTATCAGTATGAAAAAAATTATCATTTTGTTTTTATAAAATCATATTAAACTATAATTTCACTTTTGAATAAAATAAATTATCCAAAGATCAATTAGAGAAATATATGATTCAAAATTAAACACATGGCATAGCACAACTGAATTAATCTTCAATAAAGTTCAGATTTGATAGTAATTATTCATTTAAATTTGATTTTGGTTTTTATTAAATTTAAATTATTAAAGTATCTACTATAAAATTCAATTTTAAATGCTAAATGAGTCTTACAAGTTTTTAAATTTAACAATAGTTTTAGATTTAATAACTAATAAAATGGAATAAAATAAAATGTAAGAGATGATCATTAGACAGTGATTCCCAACTTATTTTAATCACAGAATCCTTTTCACATTAATAAAAAGTTTTGAAGTCTGACAATTTTGACTTATTATTTTTGATTTGTTGTTTTACTTATAATTTATTTAACATAAAAAAAAATTAATAATGGAATAGCAAATTTTATTCATTCAAACTGGTAATTAATGTGAAGAATTAATTTTTGCAAATGATTTTGTCAGCAGATGTGGTGGGAGCTCAACTAGCAGAAGAATTGAATGAATCTGATGTTTTTGCAAATAACTAAATGAACACACAATTCTAATATAGCCACTCCTAACTTAACAACATAGTAAGTTCCTACAACTAGGTTGTTAAGCAAACTGGTTGATAAATGAGGACCTTAACTGTTTTTATATGTTCTGGATAATGATAAAATCTAAAGGAAACACCAACTTGATAACTTTGTCTTAATTTGTTCTCTTACATATTACAGAACATAAAAATACAATTATCAAAAATTATAAAAATGATGTATCAAAAAACTTAAAGTTCATTCATAAAAAAGCAAGCTCTTAAAAGCATTGATACTGGGCATTGTTTTAGCTTCTTTATATATGTAGGACCTTTTGGTCATTTTATTCTAAAAAGTCTAGTTTCATCTACATTGAAGATCCATTCTAGGTGGTAACAGCCTTTCTTGATAATTTTACCAAATTGGTTAACAATTTTTTTTACTGTTTCTATGTCCCTGTTTGCCACTTTATAGCTGCTACTCTGATTATGTAGGTTGAATGATGAAAGTATTAAAACTATCCATGGCTTTCCATAAATTTTTCCTTAGACTCTGCCTTTGTGTGCCCTTAAATAAAGTCTCAAAGATACTGTGTGCATTAGCTTGCATTATTAAAAGGATCATTAGCATTCTTTCTTCCAATAATTTCTTCACTTAATAAATGAGGCCTTTTTGCAGTCTCATTATTATGGCTGGAAAACCTGTCAATACATTCACTGCCTCTTTTAGACCATCTTTAACTTTCAAGGTTGCCAAAATGGTTGAATATGCCAGCTCCAAGTCACATGATAGTGTTTTCATTTTTTTAAATGCTTCATAGTCATTTATGATCTTCATTTTTGTAAGATCAATAGCCTTCCTTTGATTCTTGGTGCTTACTCTACGTAAAATCATGTTCTTCCTTTTTGCTGACATCTTGCACTATGGCATGAACAATAAAGTACAAATTTATAAATGTCTTGGATATTTTAAATGCTTTGTGTAGCAAATACTGACTGACTATGGAAATGAGATTAAGAAAGGGGATTCCTTGTGCTGGTTGTAAGCCTGAGTCATCATTAAACAGGTAGGTTGTTAAGTGAGGAATAGCTGTATTGCTACTTGTGAGCAATAATTTCTCCAACAGGAATAAATACTTTAGTTTTTGAATACAAAAAGAATCAAATTCACAACAAAGAATCTAATATATGATTTGATTCCCCACTATTACACTCAATGGATTTATTTGCCACAAATGTGAGCCATGAAGTCTGTGCATAAGTTCCCTTTTCCTATAAAATATTATTAATTTTTGAAACTTTAAAATACATATGAAAATTTACTTAAACGATAAACTAAGACATCGTGCAACTTTATCATATCACAATAGAATTATAGTGAAGTCAAAAAAAAGAAGCAATCCCTGCACCTGCCAGGCACAGAAGAGGCAATCCTACTATCTGCAGGCCATGGGAGACACAATCCTTGTACTGACCAGGTATGGAAAAACACTCCAAGAACAAAGCAATCACCATCAATTGCTCTGTTTTTGTGTTTTGTTTGTTTTTACTCATATTTTCCATTAGGTATATGCAATACTATTTTTATTTTTTGCCTCTAGACCTAAATTCTATTAGGTACACTCAGTTGCATCAGAGAGCATGGACAATGTCATTGTAATACCTTTGTATATCAAAAACAAAGTCACAGACTCATACTTTTACTTTCCTGGCTCTGTTATATATAATAGAGAAAAAGTATGGCAATTGGTCAAAAATGACCCCCCCAAAGATTTTTAATTTTTGGACTTGAGACCTTCAAACATCAAGAAATGCAAAAACATCCACTTTTTTTCCGTATGTATGGATGTGTGTGTGGGAGCATGATTTTGTTCACCCTCTTTGAAGCTTAATAATTCCTGCACATTCAAAAATTTCTGAAATTTTATAGGTTGGTTTCTTTATTAGGGGGATTGATGCTATTAAATTTAGATGGTTAAAAGTCCAGAGGATGAAAAAATAAAAAGAGATCGTGTGTCATATCTTGAGTATGGTCAAACTTAATGACGATTTTACTCATTATTAGCATTCACAATTTTTTTATAAAACCATCCCTACACTCAAAATTAAGTTTTTTGTCAGTTTATAATAATTAAAAATGTAAACAATTTGTTAAAATGAAATATCATAACAGATGGCACCACCAAAATTTTAAATATTGCCAGGAAAGTTAAGCAACTCATTACTAGATTTTTTTTACATTTAAATGGATCCACATTACTTTTCTTAATTCCTTGTGTCAATCAATGAAAAATGGCAAAGTTTTTTCAAAGTCAACCCATTAAATTCTAAGAATGAACTTGATTCTATAACCCCATCGAAGATGTGCTGGTGACTGTGAAACATCACATGACAAAGTTGTGCAATTTGTGTGATATTGCTTTGTCTCATGCACTTGTAAAAATCTTATATCTTGAAAATGAAGCCATGGACCTCCATTTTTTATTGCATCTTTGGATTACGGATCTCGTAATTAATAGAAAATGGCAAAGTTTAATCAAAATCTATTGAATGGGTTTTTGAAAATGAACACAATTCTGTAAGCCTCATAGAAAAAACTTTGCTAACACTCTGCTTCAATTAAAGCTCAAAAACTAATTTCATTGAAGAACTCTAGGGTTCTGCAAAACACAAGTTGGAAACTGGTGCTATTATAGAAGGCATTCAATACATACTGTCAGTTAAGTTAAAAATTAATGAAAAAATTATCTAATTATTTTAAAAACTTATTTTAAAAATATCATTTATTAAAATAACATAAAGCTAAGCTTCATCAACATAAATGATATAAAAAAACTTAAGTGCTTTTAAAGCATCACTGACTCATCATTAGTAATATAAATTCTATCAAATAAACAAAGTTAAACATTATACATTCTAGGAAATTATAAAATCTTTTTCCATTAACATTAATAGACAATGTATTTAAGCACCTTTTACTAACTAAATTACAAACAAATTAAAAAAAAATTTGATTGTCAAGCAGCACCTATGTAGATCAATGTTCAGTTGTAAAATTTAAAAAAAGAATATTTAGTTTTACAGAATATTTACAGAATATGTAATATTTAATTCTGTCTATTTGAAAGAATTTCTTCCGTTGATGATGAGCCAGGAGGGCACAAAAAGTGTTTGGCTTTTTAATAGTTTAAAAGATTTATTCTACTAAAACATAACTTTCTCATTAGTATTTACTAATATTTTATTTTTTTAAATTTTGTACTTTCTTCAAACAGGATCATACTTACCTGACAAATCTATACTAATATTATAAAGAGGTTATGTATGTATGTATGTATGCATGTATGTAAGTTTCTTTGCAGCAGGTAATCTCCGAAACTACTCATGCGATTTCAAAAATTCTTTCACCAATATTTAGAATGGAACCTCAGGGTGGACATAGGTTGTATATTATTCCGATAAACATTCATATAAATTAAAAAATATAATCTAGGTTAAGGCTTTTATGTCCAACAGATGGCGCTACAAGTACGATGCCCTAAGTTTGCTTTTCTGTGAGGCATTATGTGAAAATGAACTAAAGCAGATCATCTTCTATCTATCTATATAAATAAAAATGTAATGTTTGTTTGTTCCTACTGATTTCTTTGAAATTTTCACACAACGTTGCATTCGAATATGCACGTCTTTTTATATAATATACGTGTCGAAATTCCCCCCACTGAAGGGAGATGGTTAGGCTTACCATAAAGAACTCTGCTTCTATTTATACTATTTTAGATGCGGTTTTTTGCGTTTTTGATTGCGTTTTAATAGGGTACGTCAACAGAATGTACACTAA